GTGCAACTGTCTTTGTCCCGCGGTTGCGCAGCGCCCAAAGCAGCCTATACTTCTCAGTAAGCACCTGTTGCGCTCCCACCGTAGTGGCGCATGTTCTAGGCAATTCGGTTGCCCCACTGATCCGTACCTATTGCTTCGGGCGCTGCCAGCCCAAGCGCAAAGCCCGCACACTGCGTTCGCACTGTCACAACGCCTCCTGCTAGGGCGCTCGTGGCCCTGTGGAAGATTGTGGGACCACACATCCTTGACCCATGCGCAGGCGCTTCAGCTCCTCAGGCCCCCCCGTCTCCGTGCGACACCGGAAACTCGCCCGCCCACTTTCCAACAGAGCCGCCTGGTAAAAAACAAAAACAAAACAAAACGCATTTTAATCAAACAACGCCACAGTTTCGCCACACACCGCGCCGCGGTACTGGGAAATGTGGCCCAGCAGAACCTCGCCCTCGTCCTCAGTGTTCCCTGCTCTCGACCATGCGGCTAAACGACGCCCCTTCCCGGCAGTTTGAACTAACAAAGATGCGCATGGCTGCAGAGAGTCCCATGTCTTACCTATGACCCCCAAAGTGAAAATACAACAACACAGAAGACCACAGTTTGATCGGGTGCACCCAGTAACCCCCACTCAACATGTGGTTTAATCCACACACCCGCATACACATATAGTCAGATAAATTCATCAAACAAACGCATGATAACTGGGGCATCGTTGCCAACTCACAAAGTGGCAGCTCTTGGGCTTCCCTGCAACCCCCGAACTCTCCTCCGCGTGTGTGTGTGGGGGGGGCGGGGGGTCAGCAGCAGTAGGAGGTTATTGGATGGAAAGACAAAAAAAGAACTGCATTAGCTGCCCTTCAACGCGGTATCTTTGAAATAATAACAAAAAAGAAAAACAATTAGCCCGTAAAGAAACAACATAGTTGGAAAAAAAAACATGCTAATCCATTTACCTCAACCACCCTGTAACTTCCTTCCCACCAGCTTCAAACAAAGAAAAAAAAAACGGTAATGAGGTTAATAACTTTTTGTCACCATCATTGCCCTCCTCCCACAAGAGGAATTCCCAGTGAATCCGCAAAAAGTGCAACCCATTTTCGTTTTTTACGCTCACTCCATTTACAGCCATATTCATGTCTCTTCTTCTCTTACATCGTCTTTATGTCGCTCTTATATTTTCAAGAACTCCTTATTTCTCATCCCTAATTCTTTGTTTGCTCTCTTCTCTTCTTGCCACGTGTGTTATGGGAAGTTTGCGTTCCACACCCTTATTTCCGCCAGGCTTGTTTCTTCACTGGGGAAACGAGCTTCCCACATGCCTTCCATTTCGCTAACTAATCCTTCTTTAAAAAAAAGAACAAAGAGAAACAAGGACGCAACGACAAAGGGCATGGTTTTGCGCCACATGAGTATCATGTGCTAATTATCTCCACTTCCAGCTCGCAACCTTTTTCGCTGTTCATGATCCTCCAACCTCTGCCCTCAAGTGTGTGAGAGGTGCCTCCATGACGACAATGACAGATAGTCGTTTTCCTTTCTTTTCGATGAGAAAAACAGGGAGGGGAAGTTATTGCCCACTTCCACCTTCTCATTCTATCATTCCTGCATGTGTATATCATCACCACTATTCCCTCTATCCCGTCTTGTGTTTCCGCGTTTCATCCCTCTTGTTCAAAAAGCAAACATGTCTTCATTGGCGTAACCAAGTTTTCCCAGATTTGGTCTCACAGCCTTCTCAACCATCATGGGTGGGCCGCACATCAACGCAACGACGCGGTTGTACTTGTGATTCTTGGGCTTCAGAACAGGTACATGCGCCCGCAGCGTTGCCTCATCTACGTGGCCAGTGCCGTACTTCCATTGAGGAGAAACATCACGACTGATCATGTACCACACCGTCATCCTCTGATCCCTCGCGCACTCATCCAGCTCCTTCCGAAGCAGAATATCTTCCTCCGTCTGATTGGCATACACAAGCGCGATCTCTGTGCGATCTTCAGGGGATTTCATGATGGCACGAATAAGCTGCATCATCGGTGTGATGCCCGTGCCACCTGCCACCATTGTCAGTGCATCTGCATGCGTCTTCGTCACTTCACCCTTACTGTCACTGACAGTAAAATTTCCATTTCCCAAGTACACAAACTTTCCTACAGGACCCCGCATTTCCACCATACTCCCAAGAGGGAGATTGTACAAGTGCTGCGACAAACGGCCACCGTTTGGAAACTTAGGGTGAACGTTTTTGAAGTACACTTTGATAAGAAAATCCACATAACCGACGTCGTCATCGGAGGTAACAGGAGTGTACGCATGCTGCACCATCTCCGACTTTCCCTCTGCGTTCACGACCGCACTCCGAACGTAAATGTGTTGTCCAATAGGAAGCCCAAGACGTTGTGTTGACGAGTGCAAGCCAAAACGAAAAATGAAGCTGTTATGGCTCACAGGGATTTTGTTCACCAGCTTGAAAGACTCATATTTAGACGCATCCAGGGCCACCTTCTCTCCAAAGATGAGAAAACCCTTCGAATAAAGAAGCAATACTGTCACCACAAGGATGAAAGCAGCAACAATGAACGAAAGCATGCCCAAAGAATATGCCTGTGTGCGTGTAGAACAAATACAACTTCCTAAACCAAACCTTCGTTAGTGCAGACACACCACTGTAAAGCGGATACGGGTGCCTCTAATTTGATATTCTGTATTTTCCACGAAATAGAGCAGCCAACACGGAAAAAAAAAATGCGTGCCTGGTGGGGGTCTTTGCTCCTTCTCCCCGTACAAGGAAATAACGAAACAAGGCGATCGTGGTTTGGCTCAGCGAACGCATCCCCCCACACCGGAGGAAGCCCACCAAACACCCACACACCCACACCAGTAAACCAATTGGTGCACAAATCAATCTACAAAAACTGAGGCCTCGCCGTGAACCCACAACGTGGCAGCCGTTAAAGGCCCCGCAACCGCCCCTCCCCCCTCGCATGACGAGCCCCTTCTGCCACGCCACCAGAACTGAAGTCACGACCACACGATGCGCCACCTGCGTGGCCGCAAAGAAATCGTACGCAGGTAAAAAAGGTGCATCCACGCCGTGGGCGTCAAGAGGGTGCAATACCACGTCCAATTGCCGCGTCAAGACGCGCCGCCCCTCCTTTAGTGGCGTCACCCTGCAACGCGGCAATTGCCCGTACAGACGCCAATGCGTTGAGCCAAACACTCGGCGCACGTCGACAAAGCAGGAGGATCCGTCCGTGCTTCCGCCTGCATGAGAAAAGAGTTGCGGGAGCTCCGCAGCGATGCCCCTCTGCCACCTCGACGCCCTCTACAGCTGGAAGAAGCAAAACATTTCCCAACCGTGCAAATCCACGTCCGTGATGAGGCAACTCGTCGGGTGCCTGTGATTTTTAACGGCGCTCCACCCGTACCTGCGGAAGTCCCGAGAGCAACGCAAC